TTATAATAATAAACAAAAATGTGATTATCGGTAATAAGAAAATGAAAATATATAAATAAAAGTCATCAATAGGTATCTGATAGTAAGAAAAAAGCTCGATATTGAGGAATATACAGTGACCGATATATACCCGATATACTATACCGATATATTGAAGATATGTACCTGATAAAAAATAAATGAAATCAGGTGCCTGATAAGTGTATAATATATTTTAAAAAAATGTCAAAAAATCAGAGCCCGATATGTGTCTGATATCTGTTAATATGTATTCAGTATGTGTCCGAACTTCGGCATACTCACTCTACCTATCGGGAGCTCGATATATTAAAATTTATTTAAAATTGAGCATCTATCGCATACTTATCAGGTGCCCAATAGGTGTACGATAGATGCTGATTTTCCACAATTTGACCAGTGTTAGTATTATCCACTTTTAATTTGGAACTTTCCAGTCACGTTTGTCCTTTTTTGGAATATTGAAAAAGTTTTGTCTGTTATCTATTAAGATGTTGTCTCAGATTTACACGTGATATTTAATTTGGTTCAAATGGTCTTTGACAATATTTAGGTCTTTAAGAGTATAACAAGTTTTGTATTTAGGATTTCCTTCTTGTTTAGCTAATTCTCGTTTAACGATTTCAAAAACAGCTTGGTCTTTTAACTCAATGGCTTTTTCAACACAAGCATTTTGTGTCTTTGCTCTCATTAAAAATATTAGGGAAAATTATCAGATCTCACAGTCATCACCAAATTGTTGACCGTGATTACTTTTACTAAATACGATTAACTAACAACTAATAACAGGAAAACTATTGTCCAAAAAATCACAAAGTAATTGGACGAATATGTTACAGTTGAAAAGTTTTATACTTGAAGAGGTATAAGGAATAAAGGATTTAATGATACGGATTTGTTCGAAAGAGGCTAAGGTGTGAGGTTTTTAAAGAGGTGGAAAGAGCTTTATACTAATTCAACAAATATTCACACAGAATATTATCAGTTTCATACAGAAACTATAAGAATTCATACAGAATTTATGATAATTAACCAAGATCACAAAGCAAGATCAATTATAAATAGAATAATACCAAGATCACGAAGCAGGGTATTATTATCAAACAAATGTTTCACTAAGAAATCAAAAGTTTCAAATTATTATTTGTCACAAAGACTTTTATTAATAATTTATTATATATATTAAGTTCAGAATGTATTTTTAAGTTCTAACTGTTTTAACTCTAAGGGTAAAAGCTACCTCTATTTATACAAAATTGTCATCTTTTCACAAGACTATAATTACTAATCTCAAGAAAGCTCCAGAAATTTCTGTAACATTCTAGAAGATTCTATGAGCTATTTTGGCTAATGAGTTATTTGTACTAGAGGTATTTACCAGAGGTGATGACCAGAAGTGTTAACCAAAGGTGTCAATCAGAGATGTCAACCTTGCATTATAATAAAAATGATCTATATCTGTTACTCATAAATAATAGTACTAATATAATATTATACAAATAAAGAAATCTAACTAATAAACTAATATAATAATGCTAATAAATAATATATATAAAAATTAAGAAATAAGGCTAACACCATTCTATTATATCCTATATTATAATTAGCTAAAATTAGAATTCCTTTTCAGTATGGCATATCTTTTGTATTTAATTTGTGATATAGAAATATTTTTACAAGTATAAAAATTATTATTAACATTTGAAGGTAAAAATATAAATCCAATTTTTTTTTTATGCAAATAATTGATTGTCTTTATAAAAAGAACAATAAAATCAATAATAGTTAATAAATTTTTAATTAAATTTATACTGGTCAAATAATAAAAAAATAATCTAATTTTTGTTATAAATAGATGAGAAGATTTGAGATAAATTCACAAATAAGCAAGTAGATATATAGTATAAATAAATAAATTCATAGTATAGGAAGGTCAATTTGTATCAAAAATTTACTAATTTTAATTATTCAATATATACTAAAGTTAACAAATGAGCAAGTTAAATTATATTATGAAATTTTTCAAAATACATATATATAAATTTTTTATTCTAGATAAAAATAAAAAAAGGTAGTAAACTATAAAATATTTAATTGAAAAAGTAAAAAATTTTGCCATATCAATTTTTGAAAAATACATTTAAATACAATTGCAATTTTTATATTTGACAACAGTTCAAATCATGAAATAATATCAAATAATATTTTGTGTATATAATTAATAATTCAGGATAAACTGTTTAACAGTCATTCTAAACTTTTTTCACTTTTTTAATTTTATTAATTATTTTAAGTTTTTATATAAATCAATAGTTTTAAATTCAATTAAACAATTATATATAATAAAAAATCTTTCTATATTCTGTCTTTTATCCTGTATAAATTTAAATCTGGAGATGTTAATCTAAAATATTCAAATAAATTTAAAGATATTAAATAGGTATTAATTGAAAGAGGGTAGTAATGTGTATACCTGCCACCCAAATTCAAAATCCAAATGCCAAAATCCCAAATGCCAAAATCCCAAATCCCAAATCTCAAATTATGATTAGTATTTTTTGCCGAAATCCCAAATCCCAAATTCCAAATACTAGTAATTTGGGATTTTGGTGTCCCAAATCCCAAATGATTTGGAATTTGGGCAACACGTATAGTAATGTGTTGAATTGTCAATTATGAAAAAGTAAATAAAAGATTCAAGAATTAATTGTTATACTTATAAAATTATATCTTACAATTAGATTTTTTATTATAAAATCAGAATTGGAAACAATAATTAAACAAATGTATTTTTTATCTAAAATATCAATGTAATTAATTTATTATGGGAATAACTAAAAGATATACATATGAAAATTGTGATTATACATAAAATAGATTGCAAAGAATTGTTCCTTAAACTGTTTTATTAATTCAAATAAGATGTTTTGTATAAAAATTATATAAAAAGAATAATAGAAAAATTTGTAGAAAAAAAAAATATAAATCACATAGAAAGGTTTTTAATGATATACTTAATGTTAATTAAATTATTTTGAAAAATGATTTATGTATAAGTCATGTTTTTTATATTATTGGTTAATTTTTTTTTGGTCTAATTAGATTAATGTATTTATTTCTATTAATTAAAGTTGTTCTTTAATTCAAAACTAAATAAAAGACATAATAAATATAATAAAACAACTTTATTGTTTATAAATTAACACAAGTTAGGGATTTGAAATATCAGAACAATTGATTTAACAGTTGTATGTATAGTTGAAATGTTTTTGGATTTGAAATAAAATTTTAATAATCTCAAAATGGGCCAATCACAATTGAGGTTCTGGATCAAAATAATAATAATTTTGATTGGATAAAAAGTAAATGTAGATTTAAGACACCTAAAAGTAAACATAACGCATGTATCTTGCGGAAGGGCACTAAAAATCACGCGATAATAAGTGGTGAATTGTTGACTTTCAACATTTTATTTTCGTTGTCAACAGAACCGATCAATAATAAATATTGAAAATAATAAAATTGATCTCTGCAAAATGGAAACTCCCTCACTTGCAATATCCGATCTCGCGAAATATTATCAATTTAATTGTGATAAATTATTACGAAATATTTCAAATCAAGACTATGAAAAGAAAAGAATAAAACAAGATAACGAGAAAAAAAAATATGTACGAAAAATGGATAACAGTACGTTACGTGACGCATTATTGCATCGTGGTATTAGTTTCGAGAAGCAGATAGTCAATAAATTATCTAATGTGATCGATTGTACGGGAAAACCTCCATCGAAAGCTCGTGAAATTTTACGAACTGCTAACGTAGGAGATATTCTTTATCAATTAAAAATGGAAGTATCCGATAAATTTCATGAAGAATTGGGTATAAAGGATATTGTAAGGTTGAAACCTTTTATCCCTGATTTCATCAAAGTAGTGGAAGAGGATGGTGAAAAACGTTTAATGATATTAGATGCTAAAGCCTCAAAAGATGCACGCGTTTCACATCAGGTAATTATAAGTAATTTTTAAATATCTTTAATATATCTTTAATATTTTAATATCTCTTTAATATTTTCATATATTTTTAATATTTAGTTCCAAGTTGCATCATATGCATATTTATTAAATTATGTTCTTCGAAGAATTCGTGGCCTAGAAGTATCACGTACAGGAGGGATTTATCTACCACCATTTGAATTACAAACTTTTCGTATGGATTTTTTACTTCCCAAAATTGATAGATTCTTTCGTATAGAACTTCCTCGTATAATCTCAGCATCATCAGTTCCATGGCATTATAATGCTAGATGTAAAACTTGTGAATTTGTGAATGATTGTCGTAAAGACGCAGATGGTACAATGTCAATGATACCTTATTTATCTGTAGAAAAAGCGGCAGATTTAAAAATGTTTGTTCAAGATTGGAAAGTTGGAGATACTTTAATACAGGAAGCTGATAATAGTATTGATCAAAATAAAAAAGTTGATAATGAAGCAGATATTGAAGACTTGGCTCGTTATTTTGATACTTTAAATATTAATTTTTCAAAGGATGAAAATACAAACAATCCTAATTTTTTAATAGATCGAAAAATAAAACAAATCGTGAAATATGATTACGATATCAAAAAATCACCTTACCTCGAAGCTTTTGAAACACGAAAGGCTCAAGTAAGAAGATTTATAATAAAGTTTTTAATAAAATTATTTTTAAAAAAAAAATTATACCATTTTTTAATAATATGATTAAACGATTAATAAAAATTGATTGAAGTTCATTGGCATTCCTACGACAACTTTTCCACAAAAAACCGATCACAATCTTGTAATTTCAATGTCTTTGGATCCTTTTACCTGCCATCCTTTTGCATGGGGTATATGCTTATTCTCTAGTGACGGGAAAGTGGTAAAAAACTTTCAACATTCGGAATCTATCTCCAAACTAAAAGAGGATGAAACACATGCAACATTTGTTTCATTAATTGATAAATTTGTTACTCGTTTGGAAAAAGCTTTTGAGTATCTTTCAAGAAAAAAATCATGTGCTTGCGTATTCGTATTTTCAGAACAAGAAAAAATAATTATTCAAGATTCATTGCTGGAAATTATTTCATTAGACCCTGATACAATATCAGCCGCCACTCAGCATACTGCTGCTAGATGCCTTTTTAATCTTTTTGAAGATTGTTCAATGTTATTGGTATCTGGTAATCATTCAGAAGGAAGTGTTACTGAATTACCTAATGAATGGCGAGAATTTCCACGATTAGTAATTTTAGAGGATGCGATTAGGGAAAATATTGCAATGTACGTACCTGGATTCTATCGTTTTCAAGATATATGGGAACAAATGGTTAGAGACACAATTAAAGATGAAGATCTTCATAATACATTGGATTCAGAAATAAATTCAATTGATCTTGAAGATATTTATGCAATTTGGGTTTCATCATCAGAAGTTGCGGAGTATGAAATTAATAACGCTCATAAATTTCGAACGTATTTTGAAAACGCTGTTATTCAAGCATATTATGAACTACTGGCACATTCACAATATGATATTAAATCAAAACTACTTTTTTCACCACCACCGTTTAATTTTACTGAAGTGAGAGCATTTAGACATCATTATTTAGGAAAATTATATTTTTTCAAACAATTTGAAGCTGTTACATCATGTTCTCAACAAAGATATGGTCGAATTAAAGATTTTATTTATGGGGATGTGTTTTCAGGATTAAGATTAAAACTTGATAAATTTTTAAAGAAAGAAGGGAGTGAATGGGTTGCAAGTTTTGAAATTTTGAGTGGTGGAAATGAAGTAGGAACATTTGAATCTAAAACTTTTAAAGAATTTATTTTAGTAGATGATTCTCAAGAGGTGTGAAAATAAATTGACTTACAGTTAATATTTAGATAAAGCAGTTAAATTTTATTTAGTGATTATTTTCATATGTAGGGAGTTATGGAAGCAATTCGTTTTCCTGACATGAAATTTCAAGATAAATTTTATGGATTTCCACTCTCCGTGTTATCCATAGTGGGTGTAAACGAAAACGATCCACTACATAGATTTATACACTTGAAAGGAATATATAAAAAAAACATGAAAGCTGATTCATCATCAATTTATAGACTTTATAAGCGATATTTAGATTTTAATCTTAATAAAGTTTTGAAAATGTTGGTGGAAATAGATGAAAGAGAAGATGAACGATCAGTTTTTTTGGTAATATATATTCACATTTAATTAATAAATTAATATTTTGTATTTTGTAATTATTTTATAAAGGATTGATAACATCTTTATTATTATTATTTAAATTAATTTAAAATTGGATTCATTAAAGGATGTTCTTAAAGATCCTAATAAATGGGGATCTAGTTTATCATTAGAAAATGAATCGAAAGAAATAAAATCCATGGCATTAGAATTACGAGATTTATTTGGAATGTCGCCATCACAAAAAAATATATCAGCAAAATTATTAGATCGACGATTACAGATTGTGTGGGGACCTCCAGTAAGTTTCTATAATAACTTTAATAATTTTAATAATTTTTTTTTAATAATTTAGATTTAAATTTTATATTATTATTTAATTAATATTATTAATGCTAAAAAATATTAAAAATATTATAATGCACAATAATAAAAAAAAAAAAGGGATCCGGGAAAACTCACTTTTTGGCATTATTCTTGACGTGGTATTTGACATCTTTACGACCAAAACCAACCGACAATAATAAAAACTTTTTAGTAGGAATTACAGCATTTACACGAGCAGCAATTGATAACCTTATGAACAGAATTTTTAAAGTGCAGAAAGAAAAACATAAAACAAGTGACTTTAGTTTGATTCGACTAGTAAAAGATGTTAGAAAAGAACTCACGGATGGAATGTGTGAATGTAAAGCAGAAACTTTACCTAAAAAGATTAATGATGTAAAAATCGGAATTCCAGGAAATCCTATTATTATTGGTGGTACAGTTTGGGATTGGTATAAAGTGCGTAATGAATGGAAAAATGATTGGAAAGGATGTGACATTATGATTATTGATGAAGGATCACAGGTATTTTATTATTAATTAAACTGTTAGAGTTTTAAAAGTTTTAGGGCATTCTTTATTTTTATTAACTAACAAACGCGCACCAAAAACTTATAAAGTTATTGGTATCAGATGCGTGCATTGCATTAGAATGTTTGAATCAAGATCGTGGAAGATTGATTGTAGCGGGAGATCATATGGTAATAATCTTACTTTATTTCGTGATTTATCTTACTTATTTATTTATTGAATTAATTTTCTTTTATTTTATTAAGCAACTCGGTCCTATCATACAAAATAAATACCCTGTGCTCCCTAATGATCACCCTTTAATATTCGGGTCAATACAGCAGTGTTTGATGCGAAGAGAGAATGGATCTGTATTTAAGGAAGAAGATTTCTTTTTAAAACAAGGACAAAAACACAATTTTGGGCCTTCTACAATTCAACTTCCAGATAATTGGAGAATGGTAATAAAATTTATTTTTTATGTGTAAATGAATACTTAATTAAATTATTCTTAATTGAATATTTAATAACTTTTGATAATTTCCTTTACTTAGAATGAGGAATTGAATAATTTCTTTCAAAAGATTTATGGAGATGATTACAAATCAACTCAACCTATGTTGAAATTGGATTTCGCGGATCCAAAATTAAAACATATCGATAACTTACATATAAAAAATTCATTATCTCCTGATAAGGCAATAGTCATGGTAAAGATCTCGTTGACTGATTATGAACCTCCGAAAGATTTTAGGTATCCGGCATCTGGTTTGCTTTCAGAACAGTTTTTGCGGACAGAGGCAGACGTTGTGTCACAAATAGTAACGGCATATTTCGATTCTCCAAAGAAAAAACGTCCACAATCTATAATTCCTTCATTGTTCGTTGTGACACCTCATCATCGACAACGTCATGCTATTAAATCGAGACTTCAGAAATATATAACTGATTCGAGTGTAAACTTGCAAATTAATACAGTAGAAAAGATGCAAGGACAAGAAGCTGATATTGTTATTGCATGTTTTGGATTTTTAGATGTTAATGAGATCTCACGAGAATTTGAATTCCTATTCGATCGTAATAGATGGAATGTCGCGATTAGTAGGGCAAAATGTAAAGTTATAGTAATCACTACAGATGAGATGTTATACCCTCGAGGAATGGAAATATTTGCTAACAAGAAAACAAGCGAAGGATGGGTATTCTTAAGTATGATTGAAAAATGGGTACAAGAAGGAAAAGGTAAAAGAAAGAAAAAGAATTCAGGATTAATTGAATGGGTAGTTGGCAATGAACCATCAGCTAAAGATAATGAAACAAGTTCAAATGATGCCACAAGTCAAAGTAGTAGTAGTAGTAGTCTTAATAATGACAATATTATAGCAATTTGATTATACGGGAATTTTCCTAGAAAAGAATTCCATATATATCGTATAGTATATATTTTTTTTTGTTATTAAATTAGAGTATACATATTCCTCACCCAGGTGAGCTCTCACCCCCTATTTTTACTCGAGTAAAATTGCTTTCATGTGATATCTGGTGATTACCAGGTGAATAAAATATAATAAAAATTGATATCTAGGGGTGTGTCAACTATGGGGTGAGAAATTCACTCGGGTGAGAAATAGGTTTTCTCATTAAATTATTATAAAATTAAATTATTATGAATTTTTTAATTTTTGTCAATTTGTGTAACTGTGTAGATTAGTAATCCCTTAATTACCTCAATTATGATCACGCAATGAATCATGCATGACTCACTTGTGTTGTTGTTCAACTTATTGTTCCTGTTTAGATGGTCAGATGCACCAATTGACAAAAGACACACACGACACAGAAATTAGGCGTAAAAAATATTGACAAACATGGCATACAGGGCTAGTTTTTCAACGACTCACCTCTTCATAACACAGTTTTTTAATATTGTTCATTATTAAAATGTTTCCATATTTAATCACGTCCCGATGACAAAAAAACAAAATGTTTAAATGAACATTAACAATTATGGAGTGCATAATTCCCGCAGTTTGTTTGATATATGCATTTCTATGTTTTTTTGCATGATTACGTTATTTGATGTACATTAATAATATCCTTCACATGTTTAAGGCCGCAGGTTATTTAATGATATAAAAACCCTTCAAATCTCTTTTTTTCTCACAAAATTTTGTAATCGTTAAAGACTCTTGTTTATTGCTTACCATTTTTTTCATCTTTTTCTCGTTATTAAACTATCACTAATTTTATAAATTTTTAATTACATTCTTAAATAACACAAGTTGCCTCATTCATTTTTTTTCTTTTCGATTATTGCAAGTTAACTAGCTTGTATTTTTACAAATATTTATTTGTACTTTCTACGGCATAATCTTCGTAATGATCTACGTCATCCTTTGACGATATTTTTGATATAATTTTAATATATATATTTTTTTTGTCGTCTTTAACGATATTTTATAATATTTTTACCCTCTTTTTCGTCATCCCTACTTTTATTTTATTTTTTTATTATTATTGTAGAATATGCCTTTTGATTCCGCACAACCCGTTAATTTCTTTGGGGAATTGTCTCTTTCTTCTGACTCCTCAACACCCCAAGAAGATAGCCAATTAATTCCAATTCCTGAGGTTTCCACTCATGAGGCACTCAATGTTTCCGTTAGCCCTACTCCTAGGAGTAGGGTTAGAGAAAGAGAAGTTAGAAAATGCAACCATGGTGACCTTGCCATCTTACGGGTGGTAAAGAAAGGGGGTCAAAACCATGGAAGGAAATTTTACTCATGCCCTCATTTTCCTAAGGGTGCTTCATGTGATTATTTCTGTTGGGAAGAACCCGAATATCTTCCTGGTGGATATCCATCAATATTTAACCGTCGGCGTATCTCGATGCAAAAGATGACACGTGGCGTTACACGGATTCCACAACATTCATTTACCAACGTCGCCAATGATGCTAATGACGATAACAATGACGATAACAATGATATAAACAATGTTAACAAAGTCATTATTATTGAAGAGGAAGAGAAATTTCATGTAGCAACTGCTTCATCCAACAACATCAATGACACTAATGATACTAATAATACCAATGATGCCGACAATGGCAATGTTGTTACAGAGCCGTATGACGATTTATCAGATTTGAGACCCGAGGATGTCGACCCTACATGGCTTCAATCAGTTATCGAAGAAGAAGAACAACTACGTGCCGCTTTACCGGAACCCGAAACCAAATCCATTTGCCCTACTTACAAGGGGAAAACTGGAGCTCTCTTCTCTCTTAAAGCTTATGAAAACTGGGAGAAGGTTCCCAAGTTTACTCCCGAACAATTTCGTGATGTCATTGTAAATCATTTTATGACACACGAAGGAAAGGAGAAGAATATCAATGAAATTTTCCTTCAAAAGGATAAGGCTTTGAAAGATTTGGAAAAGACACAAGAGGAAGTGGACACCCTTAAAAAAGAGCTCGAGCGGTCAAAACTTGAAACCAATGTTGAAATCACCCAAAAGCGATTGTTGCAACATGAAAAGAATCAATTGGAGGAGGAAAACCGAAAATTGAAAAAGAGACGACTGTAATTTAGCACTTTTTTTGGGGGGAGGTGTTCTGAATAATAATAGATTGTTACTGTTTAAAATTATTTAATTTTTTTAATTCATGAAAAAAAAAATCATCAATATTACTATCATTTTTATTATTGTAATTAAACAAATAAACAATTTTTGCATTCCAGATTTTATAAAATATCGTTTCTAATCATTAAAACCAAATATAATAGAATGCATTTTTATTTACATTTATCAGCAATTTTAGTCTATATTGGGTATACCATAAAAGAAAACCTGATAAATTATGGAACGTTATTATTATTAAAATGTTATACATATCATATGACATTGTGGAACCAAAAATGTCAATATATAATTGAATGAATGAAAAATGATGAAAGAAAATTGGATAAATAAATTGATTATTAATTTATTAAACAAACAAATATCAAAAACGAGTGTATTATATAATGATTCTCATTTTTTATGATAATATTTACGGTGTATTCTTGTATTCGAACAATGATATATTATAGTATATTCTTTATATTCTTTTTTATATTCTTTATATTCAAAAGTATTTAACGACAATGTTGACCATCGTCTATAATCATCTATAATCATTTTCATTTATAATCATTTAATAATAATTCCATTTATTATTTATGGTTTTCTCAATGCATATATAATAAAAAATTAAGATCATCACTATGATAATTTAAAAACAAAATTCGATTTATCTTTTTTTTTGTGAATATATTATCGATAATTTGTATGAATCTTCCTCAAGTTACAATGATTCACCTTTTTCGAAAGTAAATTTATATTTTTTTTATCTTATCGGAAAGAAAGAAAGAATGAGAAATAAATAATAAAAGGTAAGAATACTAATCCTAATAACAAGGTATAAAGCTTAATAATCATATAATTAATATAATTGTTCCTAAATTCATGTTTAAATTTTTTACGTTTATCTTTTTTTTTTCATAAAGTAAAAAATGAAAAAAAAGAAAGAAAAAAAAAGGAAAATTTAAAAATTCCAGTCATAACGAAAGCGAAACATAATAATAATGAAACATATTGAAAAAAAATATATATATATACCAAAATTGTGCAAATTAATGAAGGATAGAAGAAATCTCAAAAAATATATATAAGATTTTTTAAACTTCAAACAAAATACATCTGATTTCTCATATTTTCAGTTACGGTAAAACATTTACCATCTTGAACCTTTGTAGGCCTCTCTGGTGGGGGAGGTGGAGGAGAAAAGCCGCCACCACGTCCTCTACCTCGCCCACCACGTCCACCACGTCCACCACGACCACCGCGACCAAAGCCACGTCCAGGAACAGCACGAGGTTGTTCTTCGATTTCTTTATATGAAACAAAATGTTTTGCTTGATTTGCAATATGATGAGCGTAATGTACGGGAGTAACATGCGAAATGGCAAGGTTACATCTAAAGAAATAAAGTAGATAAGATGAATATAAAGAAAGAAAGAAATGAACATAAAGAAAAAACATAAAGTGAAAAAAATTACCTTGCAGACAAAAAGCATAGCTTATAAGTTAATTTGTACATTTCCTCTCTACTAAAGTCACCCCCATTACGTATAACATGATAATAAGTTGAACGAGCCGTTCCAAGAGGGCTTGCATGACTTTGCAAGACTATTTGTTAAATTATTATTTTAAGATTATATAAAAATTATAAATTAATGTAATATACATCAAATATAAATCTAAAATATATGCATAAACTATTTTACACTTACAGAATGTAAAATATTGTGGAACTACTATTCCGGTATCAATTACTGTGCCCGGTAAACAATTTCCTCCATTAGGATCTGCATCATTATCATTAACAGGAACAAATCTAAAAAATTTTTCATTCCCATTAGAAAAATAGGAATAAAGATAATAATGATAATGATAATAATGGTTTTAAATGTTGTAAATATGTATTATAAATGTTATAATAAATGTTATTATAAATGTTATTATAAATGTTATTTACCTAGCGTGATGACGTTTCTGGACAATTACAAAAGTGAATTTTGGTGGATCTTTGGGGAAATATAATTTTTTCAATTCATCTTCCAATGGTAATATTTCTTCATCCATAATTTTCGCAAATTGACCTTCGGCTATTCCATCACGATAAAAGATTATTTGATCCGGAAAATCATCATTATTTTCTTTATATTCTTTGACTAAACCTATAACCATTAAATTAAATTCTTCGATTGTTTCATTTTTCAAGAATTGATTCATACTGTAACGAGCAGCGTATCTAGTTGCCTCACGATCTATGGAGGCAACTACTGATGCAACACTTGGACGTCCCTTCTTTTTATCGTCAGCTCCCGGATGAAATACATCTGCACCAAAGAACATAAACTAGAAAAAAAATAAAAATAGATATAAAACTTATTTTTTTAATTTATTTTACAAAAATTTATTTTTTTAATTTATTTATAAAATTATTTACCTTTTCTTGAGATTTTTTCTCATCAACAAAGAAATTTCTTTCTACTTCAGCTAATGAAGAATTTACTCCACCTAATTTTCCATTAATTTTAAGTGCTACATTGGAACAAATTTGTCTCCATTTGTTTATATTTCCTTTCATATTTGTTCCAATAACACATTGAGACATTACTCCTAATTCAGTGACACAAATCCTTTTAATAATTGGGTAAATGCTAGATTGTGCATCTGATTTTTTATTGACAATGCATATAATGAATGGAGGAATTTTATCTCTTTTTTTGTCTAATTGTGCATTTCTAAGACCAACTGTGAGTGCCTAAAATGATAAAGGAATAAGAAAATAAACAGAATTTAATAAATAATAATTAAATTAATGAGATAATAAATAATTAAATTATGATGGAAAATCAAATAGAAAATAATTACAAATATGTAATTATTTCAATAAAAATGTAAAATAACATATAAATATTTAAAATACCTGTTTAATATTCGTTTGTGGATTTGCAAAAGTAATTTTAGGTCGCGTTGGTACATTCTATAAAATTATTATGTTTTTTTATAAAATGAAGATAATATGATAAAGAGGATTATTTCAATATTAATTTGAATTTATTTTTTTTTTGATGAGAGTTTAATTTCTAAATATTTTTGACTTACAATTCCTTTTTGCGTTAAAGCTTCGATTAATAATTTTAATGCATTGATAATTTGTTGCTCTGGAAGAAATCTTGGATCATCAAATGATACAACTGACCAATTCACAAGATCATTACTCTTATTGATGAAGAAAGAAATGGAGCATTTAATTATTTCACAATTTTTAAATAACAATAACAATAATAATAATAATAATAATAATAATAATAATAATAATAATAATAATAATAATAATAATTACTTTCAAGAATTTTTTCACTTCCCAAGTAGCTGCCTCTGGTACTACTTCGTTTCCGCTAGTCAATAATTTCGGTGATGGGAGTACAAATGCTAAAAAGTAAATAAATATTTAAATAATTTCAAATAATTTCAAATAATTTAATAAATTGGTAATCTAGAAGTATAGAAAATAATTTAATCGATTTATTACATTTCAATTTAATGAATTTATTGCTAATTCCCATTCCAATTGCCCGTAAATTTTCGTCATCTTGATGTTTATATATGTTAGCAATGGCATTCTCAATTCTCGCAAAACGATCTTTAGGTTTGATGGCAGTTTTTTCAATCATATCTCGATTTTGATCTGTCGAGAGTCTATCAATATAATATCTTTGACCTGGAAAATAGGGATAATTTTATTTAGAATGAAATGTTTATAATAAAAGACTTTGATTAATAAATAAATAAAATAAAATAAAATAAAATAATCAATAATAAAATGAAATAATAAAATAAAATAATAAAATAAAATAATAAAATGAAATAATAAAATAAAATAATAAAATAAAAAATAAAATTACCGGAAATAAGAACACATATTTCTAAGGGGTAATAAGCATCATCCTTTCTGGGTCTTTTGACAATTGCACAAGGAAGACCTGGAAATTCTAAAGGAGATCCTAAATCTTTATAATATTGACTAACAGTCATTTGTCCCCCACCATCTAATCTAAATTTTTTTCTATCAGCAGATTCTAGAGTAATTCCAACAAGTTTTAATTTCTTTTTTTGATTTCTTGTTGCAAAAGTAGTAGTAAAATCTCTATCTTGTAGAAACTTTGATATCGAATTAATTTCATCACGGCTAAGTCCACTTCTTAATTGATCTCTTGTTTTTAATATTTTATTATGTGAAGTGTAAAGAATTCTAGGAATAATATCAATAAAATTTCCCGCTGGATAATATGTGGTTGCACAAACATCCACATTAATGAGTAATTTATCTATATACAAAAAGGATGAAAGAAATGAATTTAATTTATTTAATTTATGATAGAGGGAGATAGATAGATAGAGATAGATAGATAGAGAGAGAGAGAGAGAGAAGTTATTATCTATGATATATATATGATCTATATGTGATGAATGAATTAAATAATTTACCCCAACCAGGACGAAAAGATTGATAATATCCGCGAATCAATTCAACTCCTCCATACAAATATATTCTGTCCTGTAAACGTGGGGGTTGAGGAAAAATGGCTTTTTTGCCTACTGTTTGATATTTTGTACGTACTTTAGTATTCAAAAAAGCATTAAGTATTGTAAAAATATTTTGAATTGAAGCATCCCAAATTTGATCTGTATTTTTTTTCATATAATTGGACATTTCTTTAAGAGTATAATCATTAGAAAATTTGATGATTGCTGTAAATCTTTTTGCACGACCTGCGCCGTCTGGTGGTTCAACAGTAACCTAAAAATAAAATAAATAAAGATATCAATTTATTAATTAATTGACTAAATATAAAAATAAGCAAATAATTTAAATAATTTAAAATAATTTATATATTTACATCAACTTTTCTAACATTAGAACCTTGTGTAAGATCTACCACAGAATATAAAAGTTGACCATCATACGCAGCTGGACCAAATCTTGGGTTTTTTACAAGTTGAATAATAGCAGCAATGGAATCTTTTTTAGAAGCCTTTGTTCTTCTGTCTGTATCAACATCAACAGTGTAAGATTTTACTTTAGGATATTGGAACTATTTAAAGGATATATATAACAATAAAAATAATAAAAGTAGTAAAAGTAATAAAAGTAATAAAGTGATAAAATTGATAAATTTTTAAAAAAAAAAAATTCTTGATATGAATTTAAAAATCCTCTAATAAAGATTATTACCTTGTTTACTTCCAAAAAATTTGCTATAACTTCGACCGTCTTATATTTATTCTTTGCCACAACCTCTGGGGGTCGCTTCGCAATTAATTGTCCAATTTCTTCCAACGGCTTTCCAGATTTGGTGGTGGTAGCCATCGACAAAAAAATAATTATACGACAAACAAAAATAGACTAATTTTCAGTCAGTTATGTAAACCTTTGCTTATTAATTTTTTAATATATTTATTTGTGATAAAGAATGGTTTAGTTTATTAATTATTATTTAATTTAATTAATTTCCAATAATTACGAAAGTGAAATTTTTTTTTTACATTAAAGTCTTAATATTTTTGAAAAACAATAAAATGTTTTTGTAACTTAATTAGGTCATTTGCATCAATTTACAATCATTTTTGTATATAACATTTGTAAAAACGCACGCCCTTTGATGAAAGGTTACTCATTATCATCTCTGTAACTTGTATTATATATGCAAAGGAATCTTATATATTTTGTTAAAGCAAGATCAATAATTCGAGTTACGTATGGCAAATTATATTTTCTAACTTATATAACAGGATGTGTCATGATTAAAGGGGGTGACTAGAGTTTCACCAAATGGCATTACGCCAATTAAACTTTAGGACACAATATTTTTTAAATTCAGGACAATAACTTGTTTGTTAAAATTATCTGATGTTGACTGACTAACTCCTATAACTCCTATAACTCCTTACTGAATTCTAAGAAGTGGTGAAGTGGTGATAATTTCACTGATACACAACGTGATCAATCACCAGGTCTCATTTATTTGTTCTAAAAAAAAAAAAAATACTATGTGTAACGGTTATACTAATCGTTTATGATTTTTAGGGTTTACAGGAGATAAGAAAGATAAAATGTTTTATTAATAGTTTTACAACACAATATTATGGCTGCTACATTACCAGATCTTTGTTTTGAAGAAATATTCAGTTATTTCAAATATGACTATTCTACTCTTTTTAGTTGTCTTTTAACGAATCGAGTTTGGTGTAGAAATGCTGTACCTTACCTTTGGAAATGTCCTTTTCGAAACACTTTACCTACTCTTAATGCTTATAATTTGATAAGAACTTACCTTTCTTGTCTAAATAATGTTGAACTTAATATTCTTAATTCACATGGACTTTATGTTACTGACAAAAATGCAATATTTGAATATGGAAGATATGCAGAAGAACTTCCTTTCAAATATTTGAACGATGCAATTTATAGTTGGATGAAATTAAAAGTTGATTTTTGGAAATATGAAAAAATGTTACAACCAATAAGCACCGTAATTTGTCATATGCTTATGCGTCAAGAAGCAAACATAAAAATGGTAGGAATAAAATTTTATGAATCGGATAGAGAAAATTTTCCGGAACTCGGAGCTTTTTCAGAATATCTAAATTGTTTGAGTAGAATAAGAAATCTCGAATTATATATAGATCGTTATCGCACTTTTAAGAGATCTCAAAGTTTTTTGGGATTTTTATTTCAAATCTCGACATCTTGTTCCAACATTTCTCGTCTGATAATAAATTTAAATAATAATTCTAATTTTCATTCATTATCACCTGATGTTATAGCTGAAATTATTTTAGCACAAAAGAATATTAAAGAAATTAGTTTAAATGGAATTCTTACACCAACAATAATTTATGCATTACAAAGACAAGTTCATTCATTAAAGATATTAAAATTTAAAAATGTAACGTTTAAAGGAATATCATTTACATGGTTAAATAGATGTAAAAATTTGGAAACTATTGCATTTATAAGATGTAATGGAATGTTTCTAGATTCAGGATTATCATATTTAACAACAAATATTAAAAACTTGGAAATATTGGATGACAGAGAAAATTTTACTTCTTCAAGTGTAACAGAAGTTATTTGTAGTATTGGTGAAAATTTAATAACACTCAAATTAAATACAATAGATAGTAACATTATGAATGTGATTTCTATTTGTTGTTTAAATCTTAAATTTATTGATGTGGAAGTTTCAGGTGAGATGTATACAGTTATAAGAAGATGGATTGAAACTTTACCAGTTAAATCATTTAATTTACGAAGTGATGATGATGATAAATATATTATGTAAAAATATTTTTTAATAATATTATGAATTTTTGAATTATTTATTTTTTATTTATTTATTTATTTATTTTTATTCTTTTAATTAGTGACGAATCTGAAATTGGCGAAGCTGACGTTGACAAAATTGATGAAAGTGACGAATTTGAAGAATTTGACGGATTTGACAATGAATGATTATTCTTATATATTTATATATATTTTTTTTCTTTAATTCAGTTAAAGCTTTTTTTTTTTCTAGATAATCAGGCAATGATAATATTTAAAAATATTAGTAAATATTATTTTAATATATTGTTAATATTTTTTTTTTTTATTTATGTTATAGAATAAATTTTTGAAAGCTACAAAATAGAGCAAATATTGTATGTATAAAATAGAATAAACGAGTAGAATATATATGTAATATTTATTATAAAATTGTAATAATTAATTATTTATTTTTATTCCATTTTACTTTTTTTTTTTTTTTTATTTATTTTATTTATTTTTGTTTCTTTTGTTTGTTAATTCTAAATTAAATATCACAGAATTTTTTTTCATACAAAAAAATAAATATAAATATAAATACTTTATACACAAATAAATTATATTAATAAAAATATCAATCTATTACTTGAATTATATTCTACCTTTCCATATATTTACTTATAAAAGGAAAGATTATTCCCATAAAACAATAATTCTAACATTTTCACCTACATTTATTGAATCAATTTGTTTTACTTTCCAACCTTTTTCATCACTAATCTTTTTAATAAATTCTTCATCATTTAAGATATGATTACTATAATAAATTAAGGATTTAAGTTTCGCCTCACATTTTTCCAAAAAGTATTTTAAAGTTCCATCAAGTATTTCTAATTGTGATATATTCAAATGGCGTAATCCATTAGGTAAAACTTTTACCATTTCTAATAATAAATCGTTACCATCTCGACAAAGAGGAGGAGATGGAAGAGCGAGGGGTATGAAAGAAATGAAATCGACAAAAATTTCATCAATTGCTAATATTTCTAAACTTTCTAATCGAGGTGAATTTCGAATAATTGATAAAATAAAATTTTTATCTTCATTCTTTATCATATATGTGGTAAATGAAATAAAATTTTGACAAATTCGTGAAACTGCTTCAAGTATGGAATGTAGAGACATTCCCTTAGTTCGAATACAAAGATTTCTTAAGTTTGATGACATTCTTGTATTTTGAAATATTCCAATATATGGATTTGTAATGTTAGTTGTTGTCGTTGTCGTCATACGTGGTGGTAGTTGTGATATTCTATCTATTCTATCATATAAATCAATTAATTGTAATGAATAAAGTTTTGGCATGTTTGCATCATAAAATGGTTTCATCTGTTCAACTGTAAAATGTTGTCCATTAAAATGAAGTAATTCAAGATTTGAACAATCTGCTAATGATTCAAAAGCTCTTCCATCAGTCACACATCCATTGATCATGGTAAATTCTAAAAGAGAATTAACACTGTTTGAAAGTGACAATAAAATTTGTGTTGCATTAAATTTACGTGAAGGCCATTCAAGTCTTAAATATTTTAAATTTTTTTGTGTTAATATTAAATTTGCAAATTCTTTATAACTTTCTCCAGGAATTTCTTCACTTGGACAAAATTTTATCGAAATTAATTCATGAGCATAATTAGAAAGTTCTGAAATTATTCCTGTTAAAAAAACTTTTCCACTAAATTCCAAATGAGTAAGTTGCGAAAGACATTTAAATGTTTCTGGTATAGCAAAGAACTTTGTAATCTCTTCAACAATATTTACATCAAGTTCTTTGTCCATATTAATTTCTAATTTTTCAATTTTTTCTGATATCGTAATTATTGTAATTAAAATTGAAACAACAAAATCATTACGTTTTAAATAATCTATAGATATTTCTTTTTTTGTTCTCTTATAATAAAATAAAGACGTTTCATTAATAGGTGGATATTTGATCAACCATTGAGTAACGGCTGTTATAAGATAATTCAAATCAAGGTGTTGAATAAAGAATGGATAATCAAAAGTTGTTTTTGTTGGTAACTTGAAGGTACTTATGTTTTCTAATTGAAGATCATCTTTTTTTTGATTTTTTAAAAATGACAAAAAAATTGGAATTATTTTGAAAAGATTTATTTCTTTTGGATTTTGTCGAAAAGGTTTTTTCCATAAGAAAGGTATAGCATTTTCACACCAGACATGAGAGACAAATATTGCTGAATGAAGTGTTTTAAGATCATTATCGAGATAACTAAAAATTTCATGAAGACATTCATTGGGTAATGTGGGAGACATGATCAATAATATTCAAAAAATTAACAAAATTTAACAAAAATTAAGAAAATCATCAAAATTAATTGTAGAATTCAACAAAGTAAAAAAAAAAAGGATGTACTTTTATATTAGTAATTATGGCACGTGAAAAATTGATTTTTATTTTGTATCCTAATTCGTATACATATACAAAATCATTATTGAAATTTAATAAAAGTGATTGTTGCTAAATATGGAATGAAATTTTATTGTTATGTAATCAAAACAAGAGTAAAAAACTAATCCATGTAATTTTAAAAATGCAATAAACCACAAAATAGCATGGATAGGAAGAACCAATCAAATTGAAAGTAGTCTTCTAAAATCTCTAAAATCACAGATTTTTTTTTTTAGAAATAAATCCATGTGATCGTTAATAATTCGCAAATCATATCAAAATTATAGGCTTACTAAGCATTGCTAAGTATGACTACTATTTAAAAGTTAGTGTATTCAAGAAATTATTATATCTATTGTTGATATAATATTTGCTGAATATTCCTAAATTGGCACATATCCAGTTTCCATGTATCAGTATCCGTGCTATATTCCCATCTATGTGGGGAATGTGAAAAGTATTGTATAAAATAGTTGGTTTCTTTTGGTTAAAGTGTGCAAGTTTGAATGAATTTATAGCGCGAGTGATGTAATTTATATTAAAATTTAAAGATTTCATTCATTTCAATGTCTTCTTGTTCTTTAAAAGAAATTCAATTTAATAAGTTTATTAAAATAATTATCAAAATAAAAGAATACATATTATGATTTTTACTTTATTTAGATGCAAATAATAATAATAATCTGAAATTTAAGATATTGTTTTTTGTGCAAATTACTTTATTTGATGACGCGTTTGTTAACAAAAGAATTATCAGTTATATCATGCAAATAATAATATAATAATAATATAATAATAATTAATAATAATCCTGAAATTTAAGACATTCATTCTTTGTGCAAATTATTTTATTTCACAAATTCTTGATATTCTTCAACAATGACACCTCTAATGAGTGTGAATTTTTCAAAATATTCTTTTCATCTACAATCTACACTACCTTCATCTGAGCCAGATACAGAAACAAGTGTAAGAACCAAAAAAATTTAAGAAAAACAATAGTAGCTTACAACAAGTGTCAAAAACAGAAGATATTCTTAATATCATATTCTATTAATTAAAGTATATACAAACCACCCTCAGAAACAACTTTGAAATGATAAATGGGATTGGCAAGATTTGCTTTTAATACAGTAGTAAAATGGAACAAAAAAATGATAAGTTAGAAAAAAATAAGAAAAAAATTCATTTGATAATAATTCAGCCATTTGGGATGAAGTCATTAAATGAAATGCATAACGAAAAACAGATTCATCAATACATTTTATTTCTTTTCAATTACAGAAAGATAAACACCACACTATTACAATTTGTGCATAGAATTTTAGTAAATCTTGCTGGAATCATTTTTATATTATTTCTCTTCACATTTACACTGATTGAAATTTTATAAATACTACACTCATATAGTTGTAAGAGTGCTCATCAATATATGGATATGCACATTAACATAAATCTATTGTAAATTTGAATGTGACCTCTTCATTTTGAAACAAAATGTAAAGCCTTATCCATACAAGATTCACCTGATGATACTTACTTACAAAAAGTATAGGTAAAATTGGAGAACATGACAATATATGTTGTCAAAAATAAAAAGTGTTTGACTCAATTACTGAAATTTAATTGCTTCTATGTAATTGTATCAAATAATTGTGTCAATTGGCATCAGGAAATTTTTATAGGCGGAGGATTTTTGATATGGGAGATTTTCACATTTTTTTTTTTTACATTTTTTCAGCATTTATAAGATAGAAAGAAAGGTCTTGTTCTTGCCTACAAAATGAGATGTATTTATCCGGATAGCATCGCATCGATGTTCGTGGAGTCATTCTGTTAAAGTCGAATGTCCGTGAAAAATTCCTGTCATAAATTTTCCAGAATTTTTCACAGACGTTCGAATTTAAATGCAAATAATTCTGCGAATATCAATGCTGCTGGAATGAAACATATATAGTTTGTAGCCAAGAACAAGGGCTTTCTTTCTATATTAGAAATATCTTTGATAGGAAATCGTTCTACGCTTCAAAAATCGTGATGAAATCTAAAAAAGGTAAAAAAAAGTGAAAATTTTCACTTTTTTTACTAAGATATTTCTAAGGTAGAAAGAAAGCCCTTGTTATTGGCTAAAAATGATGTGTTTAATCTAAGTAGCATCGAGTTATGTTTAAATTCGAACGTCTGTGAAAAATTCTGCCATTAATTTTCCGTTATTCTGGCCAGAATTATGAAAATTTGACATAAATTTTTTGTGGACGTTTGGCTTTAAATGCGAATAGCTTCGCAAATATCAATGAAAAGGTATCATTTTGTAGCCAAGAGTAAGGCCTTACTTTCTATCTTAGAAATACCTTAGTAGAAAATCGCTTTACACTTCGCAAAAGTCAAAAAAAATGTAAAAAAAATGCGAAAATCCTCACCTATCAATTCCGTAGTTTTGATTATTTCAAAAAAAGAGAAGCTAGCTGTTTCTACCTCAAAGCACCAGAAGTACAAGATTTTACAACTTGAAAAAGCAAAACTATTAAATTTAGTCAGACAATTAAAATTATGAAAAATTAGAATTGCCATGAAAATTGATGCAATGACACAATTACATAGACGCAATTAAAATTTCAGTAATTGAGTCAAAGGCTTTTTACTTTTGACAACATGTCATGTATATTCTAAAGTGTACAACTGTCAGAATTGTAAAACTGTAATGAATTGAGATGAAAAGAATCTTTCTTCAGGTGTTACCTTGATTCTCTCCAGGAAATATTAGTTATACTTAGCAATGCTTAGTATGCCTATTATTGATGTACTACAACCCATGGACTAAGTAAAAAATGGTATTTTTTTTGAAAACGATTAACAAAATAATTATATAATCAATTAATTAATAAAACTTAATTTTTATAATGAAATTTAAATTATTTATTAATAAATAGTTTTATTTTATTTTTATATAGTGTATTCTAATTAATTAATATAATAGTTTCTTTAAAAAATTTTTAACCAAAAGAAAAATAGCAAAATTAATAAAAAAAAAAAAGTAATAATAGAAAAAATAAATAAACAAAAACAGTTATAATTTTTAAATATAATCAATTAACAATAAATTATAATATTTACACAAGTATGTAAACCTTTCTTCTTTTGCTTCGCATACAACGTAATAAATAAAGAAGTTTACTCTAAATAATAAATTAATAAATTATAGCAAAATAGCAAACATATTTATAATTTTTCTATTGAAGAATTTATAGTTATAAATTAAATTCGATTCTTTAACTTTTACAGTGTATAATAAAATATTTTATTACTATTTATCGCTTTTTTAATGACTTATTCATTGAATATTTGGCAAATATTTACAAATATTTTTAATATCAAAGCTCATAAATTTTCTTTTTTTTAATGGCCTCAACATCAAAAAATTATTATTATTATTTTATTTTTTTTTTATTTTTTTGCCTTTTTAACTGATGATTTTTTCTTATTATATGAATATTCAAATGGAATATAGTCAAATCTTCCATCTGTAAATTCATTCACATCTTCCCATGGCTGTTTTACACGAAGTTTTTCATCATCATCATCATCATCATCATCATTTTTTTGTCTTCCAAATTCTTTGGCATCTTCAATTTCTTCTTCATCAAATATAGGGAATGCCCATTCATGTTTTTCTTTGCACTCAAAACCTTTAGGACAATACTTGCCTTTTGTAAAAAATTCACATCTGGGTGCTTTTGGATTTACACGAACATGTGTATAGTGACAGTTTCTATTTATGCATAACCCATGAGAAAAATGTCGACAATAAGGAATTAAATGTGGTGATTTTTTATGTTGAAGTGTACATTTGTCTCCTAGCTTACACTTATTTTCACGTAACCATTTTTTACAAATAGCAACTCTGTCAGAGTCATGCTTATATGCGCACTTATCTCCATCTTTACATTTCCCTTATAAATTATAATTATAAATTATAAATTATAAATTATAAATTATAAATTATATAAATTATATAAATTATATAAATTATAAATATAAATTATATAAATTAAAAATAAATCAAATAGAAATATAAGTTGAAATATAAGTTGAAAATAAAATATATCGTTAAGAATACAACTAAACAATCTAAATATGGCGCAGGGTTCGTTAAATTCACTTACCGTATTTGTGAAAATATATACAATATTTATTAATTAATTTGGTCTTGATTGGTCTTTGATTAATAAAAAGATTAATGTCAAAATATAAAAATCTTTTAATCATTTGTGTAAACTTTTAAAATAATATCACATAGTCATAATCTCTTACCTTAAATTATTATTTTCAACTTCTTGTCTAACATATTTATTATTTGACTTAATATATTTTGTATAATTATATTGAGGTCTGAAAGAATTATAAGATCCATGTGTACGATAAGGAGTCATTGGGGTCTGTGAAGAGTAGGTTGTTGACGTTTGTGTATTAGCATATTTCGAACTACTTCCACTTGAATTATTTGCCATCTCAGCACGAACTATAACATTAGGTTTTGTTCTAATATATTTTGGATTGGGCGCTTTTGCTAACTCTCTTTGTAGAAGTTCAGCACGAACCATCTTGTTGGGTTTAATTTGAATATAGGTATTGTTTTTGCTAGTACCATGATTATTTGTCGCATTGGCAGAAAACGAAGACATACTAATTCTTAAAGTAATTAAAGTTTAATAATCTATATTATTATAATATAATAATACTTTCATTGGTTTATTACATAATCATATCATATTCATATTTAATCTCATTGTTACACGAATGCAATGATTTATTTTGTATGTATTATTCTGTATTCTAAAGAGTGATGATAAATATAAATGAAATTCTAAACATTAAAGTTATTAATATAAAATTTATTCTATAGAAAACTAAGAACCAAGAATTTATTTAAAGAATAAAATGAAAAATTATTATATTAGAAATTATGATATTTACAAATCGGTTTCAAATTATAAGTGTATAATAAATTTACTTAGACAATTACATTAATAGAAACTTTCCATTTCTCATGAATCATGAATCAAGAGGCAAAGTAAAAATAGAAAAAAAAAATTGTTAAGTAAATAAAATATAAATAATTTTATTATAATTTTATGAAATATAAAAATATTGACGGATATGAAAAATAAATAAATAGATCTAACAATCTGATATTAAACATTCTTTACTACTTTAAAAACTTCCCAATCATCTACGATAAATAATCCTGGAAAATCAAGACCATAATACATACTTGAATTTTTGGCAGTCCAATTATTATTATCTTTACAAGTCAAATCACCATCTGTTGAAGAACCAAAAATTGGTCCACATAGGTTTGAACAATATATAGATTGTGATCCCTTCATTCGAGCAATAGATGCTATTGTCATATCATTTAATTTATCTATTGAAAATATAAAACTATCATTAGTTGACTTAGGACCATTTCCATTCCAATCAAGTGGATTATAACCACCAATCAACCGTTGAGAATCTTTAATCTTGGCTACCACAATATTAGGCCCTTCATTATCACATTCTTTATGAAAATTAATAGGATTTGAGCCATGTTGGCTACTTCTAAAAATAAGCTCAAACTTGTATGGCAACTTTCTATAATCAGTATAATAAATGGAACGCTTATCAATCCAATTAGAAAATATTATAGAGTGATTTTTACCAATCAAAATTGAACGCAAAGGTGAAATTCTAGGTGGCAACACATTATAAAAAGGAATTGAATTGGGAACCAAATAACCATTTAAAATATCATTAATAAATTCTTCAGAAATAATTCTTTTAAATGGCCACACTTTAAGATAAAAGTTCTCAGTAGATATTTGACGAAATCGAATTAATGGGATACAATTATGTAATCTTTTCTTCAAAGTTATAAAATCTTGATCGGTTAATTTTTTGGGATCATCTTTGAGTTTAGGAATTTGTTCAATTCCCCATTTAACTAAATAATTCCATATTTTAATTTCATCCATAGAAAGCTCATCACTTTTGAGAATTAAGATTAAAACATCTTCTTCTAAAGAAAAAAATTTATCCGATTCAAATAATATTTCCGGATTCTGGCAAACTGTTTCTAAATATGTTTTAGCAAGAGTCTCAAGACCTTGATGTGAAATAGGACAAATAATAGCTGGATTTTGACGTAAAATTTTAATCTTATTCATAATCAAATATTCCTGAATAAATTCAATAAGTTTTATAAGTCCAAGTTCGTCGGCAGCATTTAAAATTTTGACAATTTCAGTGCCTTCTAAATTGTCAAGATTCACAAACCCACAATAAATAAACCTTTTAATATGGTATGGTGGTGAAATAAGAAAGTTCATTAATATTTAAAAAAGAAAATAATTATCTATTTAAATATTGACATACAATTATCTATGCATGTAAATCTACATACTTTAGGATTACTTTAAAAACCGAGACAGAATAATTTGGTTTTTTAAAAATAAAGTAACCATCTTGTTTTTTCATCCATTCATTTGAAAATGCTCTGCGGAAATAAGGTGAACGACTACGCAACACTACAGAATGTGCATGTGACTCATTAAGATTATTTTCATCTTCTCCAATATAAATTTTAACATCATAACCTTCTTCAGATTCATAAAGTTGTTTATAATCTTCAATTATATCTGCCTGAAATATTGATGACATTTTTTAACACTGGAGATGAATTTTTTTTATAATCTTATGCTTTTTTTTTTTTTTAATTCTATCAAATCCGTTACACATAATGAGATGCTTTTGTGACCCAAAAAGGACTTATATATAAGATAGAATAAAAAGCCTAACTATTGGTTGTTTATAAATATGATTTTTTAATTTATTGGATCATGAATGTCATTACACAATTATCCTAATTATCCTATATAGAGTGGATGCAATTGATTTCAAGAAAAAAACTAGAGATTAGGTTTATAATTTAAGCTAGAAAGGATTTTTGTTGGTGTAAGTAATTCATAAAATATATATGAATATATGAATATATGAATATAAGAAAAATATTATATTATAAAAAAAAAATTCTAATATTATAATTTTCTAATTTTTTTAATTTTAAACAGGGCTATGGATTTTATGGAAGAAAATTTTGGTTTTCCTCCGATAATATAATTTCCATTGATATAATCAATGCAAAGGGTAATCTGACCACTGCAAATTCTAAACAAAATTCCTGATTTTATTCTTTGCTCTTCGTAATGCAGGAGGTGGAAGTTATGGATTAGTTACATCGATAATATTTAAACTTGCATCTATTCTCAAGATTGTCACTTCATTTATTTTTGATTATAATATATCAAACGTTCAACAATTTTTTGATGCAGTTCACAAAATTTGAAGCAAAACTTACAACCGTGCGATGTTTGATTTATTTGGTGGTGGAGCAGTAAATTCTATATCTCCAAATGCTACAGCTTTTTGCTTACCAAGATGTACTATATGGAATACAATTATATTCCACTTTGACAGGACAGTTGATATTTGTTTAAATAATTTAAAATGATTTAGTTTTGAATTCCAAAAAAAAATTATAAAAGTCAATTTAGTTATCAAAATTATATTGATCGAGATTTAGTTGATTGGAAACATAAATATTATAGGTTAAATTTGATCCCAAGAATTTATTTTTCATTTTCTCAGAGTATTCCTGTAAATAATTGATTATTAAAGTATTAATTCAAATTTATAAAAATTTCCATATTAGATCTAAATCATCTTTCTGATTCTGTAGGAATTACCGTATTTGCGGTTTTGATGCCAGTTGATATTTATATACTGTTCACAATAGAAATGTCAAAAAATTATTAAAGAATCAGCAAAGAATTTATTAATGAGGTAAATAAAATATTCATTCATTTTTAATTCGTGATTCGTGAGTTAAATGCAAAAAAATCATATGTAAATTTTGATGCAGCTTTTTTTTCAATAACTAAATAATCTTTATCATGAGAAAATAGCCCAAAATGTAAATTCTTATTTTAAGAGCCAAAAGAAAACCAAAGATTGATATTCTTTCCTTTTATTAATTATTCAATATGTAATTGGAGGTGTTTTAATAATTGGATATGAATTTTCGAATTGAATAAAAAGCATAGTAATAATGATCTGCACTTAACTCACGTATCACATCACACGAATTAATATTTTAACGTATTAATCAAAAGAATATTCGATATTAAAGATATACATTACTTTGGGAGGATAGATTTAGGAATGTTGAAATATTTATTTTATGGACATATACATTATGGCATTCTTTTCAAATAGTATATTTAAATAACATTTGATTGAAATTTATGGAATTATTACAATTGCACTTGAAATATTATTTGGAATGATATATATGATTGTCATTTCATTTACATGATGAATAATTTACATGATGAATACACTAGAATTATAAATGCTTTATTATATATATAAAAACGATTCTAATATTTTAAAACCATATATAATAAATAAATAAATAAATAAATTAATTAATTAATTTAAGTAATTAATAATTAATATAATTAAATAATTACATTTCCTTAGAAAATTGTAAAATTTCATTAATATCAATAATTTCAAATCTTTCATTCACAATAGAAGATGATAATAAAGAAGATATATTATTTTTATCTGAAATAGAATAAGAAATTCCTACTAAATGTAATTCATCAAGATAAGACTCTTCGAATTTCCATTGTGGAGAAAGTTTGTTATTGATATAAAGAGAAGTTTTTGTGTTTAGAATCTAAGAAATAAATTATTAATATAATAATAATAATAATAAATAAATAATAATAATAATATAATAATAATAATAATAATAATAATAATAATAATAAAAACAATAATAAATAAATAAATAAATAAATAATAGAATACCAACCTTGATATTTCCAAATTCTAAATTATTATTTTCATCATCAGATAAATGAAATTCAATAGATTTCAAATCTAAAGCCAAACCAATACCAATAGCTTTTACATAACTTTCTTTTAAACACCAATATCTATAAAATAAGTGTAATTGATCTAATTCATTTGTATAAGAAGAAGTTATTGTATTCCATTCATATCCCGAAAACTTTATAAATAAATAAAATTAATAATAAAATTAATAATAAATTAAATAATAAATAATTGATAATAAATAATATATAATTAATATTTTATAATAATATATAATAATAATAAATAATTTAATAATTAATAATTAATAATAAATAACAAATAATAAATAATAAAATATATTAAATAATGAACATTACTTGATCTTTAAAACATTCAAAAAATTGGTAAACGGACAAATTGTTAGATTTTTCAACTTTCATAACATCCACTCCAATAAGAAAATTATCACTTGATACCAATACAACCCAATCACCATGATGTGAAATATTGAAATTAATTAATTGATTTTTGTTATTAATCAAATATTCCGGTTTTAACTTGATAAAAAATTAATTTAAAAAAAAAATTTAATTAATAATAATAGTTACATATCTAATATAAACAAAACCTATTAATATATATATATATATATATATAACTTACTAAAATAGGCCTATTCTCTTTAGTTCTTCCAAATCTAATTTCCTTCCAATTACAATTATAAATTTTACAAAATAAAAATCTCATTAATAATCTACCAATTAATGCCAACTTTGAATCTTGAAAGGATCTAAATTTTTGAATTCTTTCACTTTCTTCTGGTTGTACATATGAAAGTGCTTTTTTATATTGCTAAAAATTTTATTATTATGATTATTATTATAATCTAGATTTTAATTAATATTTAAATATTTTAATAATATTATAATTATTTTTTTTTTGAACATTTTGAATATCTACCTCATTAGAAGGGTTCCATTTACTAACATCAAAAGCCCACCTTGCTGTAATTTTTGGATCCATACCATAACAATAGAATAGAATAGAATAATATTAATAGTAGTAATATTATATTATATATAATAATAAAAAATATTGTTATACAATTGCTACTTATCCGATTATTCCGATCCACTTATTTAGAAATTCTTTGTAACCATTCTATTAATAAAAATCAGAACAAATCAAAATAATATTATCCTAGTTTAGAGAATTTTTTGCTTTTGTCACTCACAGCATCACAAGCACAAACAATAACGATAGAATAAAGAGCAATAAGCACAAACAAGATCTTGTAAACATGTATGCATATCGGTAACAAATTTTTAATAATATCGTGATAAACTAGGAAAAAATGTGGAAATATCTAAATGATTGTTTATGTCTATCATTTAAATTTTTCCTATTTATGAATTAGAATTATTGTTTTAAAATGTAATGTTGCTGTTGTATTACTTATAATAAATTTGATTTCCTTATATATATATAATTAATTAATATGGTAATTAAATTAAAGGAATATTTGTGATGCATAGAATGTTGAGTGAGCAAATTGAGTGAATGAATGAGTAAAGTGAGTGAGTGAGTGAATGAGTGAGTGAGTGAGTGAGTGAGTGAGTAAGTGAGTGGAGTGGTGTGATGTGGGAATGTAGGAAAATATAGGATATGAACTGTAAGAAACGATATAATTGAATAAATTATTATTAATTATAAAATTCATAAATTGGATAAAAAAATGATCGAACGGAACGGTTAGAACAATTTATAATTTATAGTTAAAAGTTTATTAGTTGTTAATATATTAATTAGTTTATGATTACAAATTTAAATAAATATGCGCTTTCTTTGTAAAAATGAACTAATCAATTTATAGTTATAATAAAAAAATAAAAACATGTGTGTGTACTGATTAACAATATATAGATGAAGTATTGCTAAAGTTTATTTATTTATGTGTAGTGTATGTATGTATAGTGTGATGTATTTATGTACTCTCTAATGTGTTATTCTAATTTTTTAATTAATTTATAAAATCCATCGTTATTCATTTTATTTTTTTTTTTTCATTTTATTTTTTTCATTTTATTTTATTTTTTTTATTTTATTTTATTTTTATTTTAGTTATTTACGATACATTTTACATTCCTTTCTTTTACTTTCTTTATTAATTTTATTTTTCACGACTAAATTCTCCTAAATTCTCCTAAATTCTCCTAAATTCTCCTAAATTCTCCTAAATTCTCCTAAATTCTACTAAATTTATTAGATAGATCATTCTTATTTATTATAATTATTTATTATTTATTATACGATACAGTAAAAGTGATGGATAAATTAATATATATACATAATAAAAATGACGATAATTTAAATCAAGACAATAATAACTATCATAATAATAATAATAATAATAATAATAATAATAATAATAATCATCATAATAATAATCATAATAATTATAATAATAGTTATAATAATAGTTATAAAAAATGGATAATAATTTTATTAATATATTTTATATTTATAGATATTTCCATTGCTTCATTTACACCACCTGCCAGATATTCACACTCATCAATATTAATAAATTCTAAATTATATATTTTGGGAGGAAAGAATTCTTCAATAGAAAATAATGAATTGATATTAAATGATATATTTTATCTTGATTTATCATCATCATTCGACACTGATAATCCAACTTGGGAAAGCATTAAAAGCATTGAAAATATTTCATCATCATTGAAATCTTTTTGGTGCGCGGGTTTTCTTGGAGGGAATAATAAATCTTCTATATTTTTTACCAGTGGAATAACGGAAATTAAAAATAGTATTAATAGTAATAATAATAATAATAATAGTAATAGTAATAGTAATAGTAATAGTAATAATAATAATAGTAATAGTAATAATTATGAATTAATATCTCAATTTGATATTAATAATAACCAAATATGGAATTCGTCATCAATCACGGGAACTCCTCCAAAGAAAAGAGAAAGATTTCAATTTATCGATGATGGAAATGGAAAATTATACATTTTTGGTGGATATAAAGAAATAATATTAAATAATAATAAAACTAATTTAAAAAATGAAGGATTTAATGATATATTTATATTTGATAGTATAACATTAAATTGGTCACAAGGTTCAAATATTAATGCACCAAAAGCTAGATATGACGCAGCAACTGTATTACTGAATGATGGAAAAATATTATTTATTGGTGGAAGGGAATTTGTAAATAATGTTAATTATACTTGGATCGATGCTGAAATGAAACAGGTTATTATTATTATTATTTTTTATTGATTTTTATTATTAATTTTTTTTATTAATTTTTTATTGATTATTTACTATTATTATTATTGATTATTAATTAATAGATTATAATTTATGATACTAAACTTTCTGCATGGTCTACTATGGTATGTTTTGCGTTATAAAATCCTTTTTCTTTTATTTCTTTTATTCTTTTATTTTTCATAATGAATATTTTTTAATGTTTATAATGTAATGTTTACAGAATGCAGGTGGTGACAAAGTAATTTCAAGATCTGGTCACACTGCTGTTTTAGGTATGTTAAATTATTATTATTATTATATATATATATATTATTATTATTATATTATTATTATATATTATTATTATTATATTAAATACTCACTTATTATATTTTATATTACAGGATCAAATGGTCTAGTTGTAATATTTGGTGGAACAATGAGTTCTTTCGCACTCACACCTAATTCTCCATTGGTTTTATTAAACACTTCTACCACACCATTTATTTATTCTGTATCACATAATCCTATTCCTTCTGGTGCAACAGTAACTCATCATACATCTACTATTTATCAAAATTATATGTTGGTGATTTTTGGTAAACTTTTTTAATTTTTATAATAATAATAAATTCTCAATAATGACAAAAGATTCTGAAGCTAATTTTTTTTTATTTTTTATTTTTTATTTTTTATATTATTTTATTTTTTATATTATTTCATTTTTTATAGGAAATTTAACTCATAATCTAAGCTCCATTTCACAATATCCAACTTCTAAAATTTACGCTCTAGATCTTAATACTTTTAATTGGTCAACTTATGTAAATATCCAATCAAATTCCGAAACTCGAACTAGAAGATTTATTATTTCTGTCAGCATTATTGGTGCAATAATAACTATAGGATTTTCTTTAATAGGTTTAATATATTATAAAAAACAAAAGAAGAAAAATGCTAAAATTATGTTGAAATATGAGGAAAAAATTGATAATAATGATAATAGTGACAATTGTAGTAATTATAGTAATTATAGTATTCATAAATATAATAGTGCTCAATATGGTAAAAAAGTTTATAGTATACACGAATCAAGCTTTATTAATTTAGATAATGGAAGTGAATATGGAGATGACGAAAGTAGATATTCAATACCAATTGCAAAAATTGTTGTTAGTAAAGCATATTCGGATTTTTCTGGATTTTCTGATCATTCTAGTCATTCAGGTCATTCCATTCATTCAATTAATCATCCTTTAATTTCTCCTACTTCTCAATTAAGTAGTACTCCTAGTTCTCCCGGGTTAGTTTTAAGTGCTCCAAATTCTCCTGGTTTACCATCCATTTATAATAATAATAATAATAATATTAATGATTCGTCTGTGAGATATTAATGAATTTAATTATTTATTTAATATTATTATTTATTTAATTATTTATTGTTTATATATTCAATTATTTTATTTAATCATATATATATTTAATTATTTTTTATTTATTATTATAATTATAGTTCCCCCATTTAGAATTGTATAGAATTTTTACCATTATAATATTCTCCTTTTTTTTTTTTTGTATATTTTTTTTTCAATATAATGCGTATTTTTTGAATATTATTTATAACTTATAAAATATAAATAAATCTATGTAAAAGGCTTGACCTTTGCAAAAAAGATAAAAGCTAGAAATAGAAATGAAATTTTTTACTTCCAGTTAGAATAAGAATGAAGATTTCTCGTAATATGATATGATATCTATGACGATTGTCGTAACACTATAAATATTATATTTAACGTTATGTCCGTTTCTGGAAAGTCACGATGTGTCGCAAATGTAATAAATGCAACGTGAGTGGCGAATGCTACGAAAATGTCCTTGAATAAAACATTTGCCACTATTCTCTTTTTGGTAAGAAAATCTTACCAAAAATGAACAAAAATATACCTGGGTTTTTATTTCTTCTATTTATTATTTGTGTACGATTACTATATCTATTCGCTACTCGCTACTCGATTACGATTATGATTAAGATTACGATTATACGAATAACGTCCCACCCGCCCTCAGTTCTTTAAATACAAAAAATATGTAATACAAACATTATTTACTTGTGAAGTGCTTGAAATACTATGCCGTATGTAAGGGCTAAGCCTCACCTGTTAAACTAGCATTCGTTTGTGAAACTAATAAAAAATAAATAAAAAATGATTAAAAGGGGTGTGCCAGAAATCAGCTAAATCTGCTGATTTAAAAGGGAGATGGGGTCAGTTTATATGTATCAAGGTTATATATGTATGTTGTATTACGCAAAATACGTGACCTGAAGATTACGCAAAAAAAATTCTATTTTTTGAATTCG